CAGTTCTAGAGAAACCTGTACTTAAAAAAAGAAAGCATTAGTATCTGAAAAAAAAAATACTAGTAACATCTCGATTCATTATGCCTATATTAATTAAAAAATCAAAACCTTTGTAAAAAAAATCATTAGAGTCAGCAAACATACAAAAAAAAATACCTTTTCTAATTGTTCGATGTTCAGTAGCAAAGTATATGTTATGTATACAAAAAAAAAAGCCATTAATATATAAAGTAGCAAGAATAAACTGAAATAATAATAAAGAATACACCCTTCATTGAAATCGTTAACCTAATTATTGTCAAAATTATGAACTACTGTTGAAATCACTAACCCCCACTCCACCCACTGTTAAAATTATAAATCTTTCACTGTTGAAATTACTAGAGAAAACATTGTTAGTGTCAACAAGAAAAAAAAAATTAGAAAATAAAAAGCACATGAAAAAAAAAATTACTGCTGATTTGTGAATGTTCATTCTCAATTTCAACTATATGCGAAATCTGTATTTAAAAAAAAAAAAAAAATTACTGCTGATTTGTGAATGTTCATTCTCAATTTCAACTATATGCGAAATCTGTATTTAAAAAAAAAAAAAAAATCAGTATCTGAGATGAAAAGAAATAAGATAAAAAAAAAACACTAGTTATATCCTAATTCGTCATGACTATCACAATTCTAATTCAACAACCAAAGCCATTAGTGCTGGCAAAAAAAAAAAAGAATTACTTCCTATTGATTAATCAGTACTAATTCCCAATTTTAGCTATACAAACCAGGTTAGATTGATCTAATCTTCACTAGACTTGCTTCAGATCCTACTTCAGGTCATTATAGTTCTGCTTCAGGTTGTTTCAAATTTATTTATATTTTTTAAACCTACTCCAACCAGATTTGGATTTAATCTAGAGTAGCTCTAGAGTACACTACTACATTAAGAATCTAAATAAATTTAACTTATGCGATTTGTAAAAATTAGTGATATTTAATTTATAATAATTTAAAAATAAAGGTTTAATACTTTAAAGCACCTCCGATCGAGAAAAAAAATGACAATAAAAGAACTAGAAAAAAGGTTAATGAAAAAACTAAAAAAGCTTTTATAAACTTAGTGATAAACTTCAATAAACTTATAGCAATAAACTTTAATAAACTTATAGCAATAAACTTTAATAAACTTATAGTAATAAATTTTAATAAACTTTAGCAATAAACTTCAATAAACTTTAGTGATAAACTTCATAATCTAACGTAAATCCTGTATAATGATAATGTAACAATTTAAAATTTTTTTTCATTTGCAAAATAAAATCTTCATGTTATTGAATAGAATATTCCATGTGGCGATTCTGATAACAATGTCCAAGTTTGGACAAATTAATTAAATATCGCCAAATCAATATTTCGATCCTTAAGATCATTGCCCCTACAGCATCATCTATAGTCGCATCCTCACTTGATTGATATCCCAGCACCGTAGATATCTTTCCAACCATTATAAAAGACCAGTCTTGTTTACTAGCGTTTTTCATTATTTACCTATATACCATTAGAGTTAAATTGGTCTTGTTCCTTCCTCTTTGGTATCTGCTCTCCTATTAATGGTTACAATAACAGGAATGTTACATGACTAATAACTTTTGTTATTTTAAGCAATAACGATACTGAGAATTATAAATTATATGGGTTGTTGTCCAACAAAACTATGCTTAGAGTATATACCCTAAGCATGGTTTTGTTGGACAACAACCCATATTATAGAACATCTCTAAAATATAATTTCAGGAATTTAATTTCATTATATTACATTATAATAAAATTTGTTTAAAACATAACGACAATTCATCTTATTGCATATATTTGTACAAGCATGTAGAAAATGTACTTGGGGAATATGATTAACATAATTTATTAGGAAAATGTATGCCCCTTCAGATGCTCGAACTTTATAGAGTAGACATCCAAGTATTGGATCAACAACATTCATCTCCTGAAATCTGTCACATTGAAAAAATGCATAGGTCTTCTCACTAGTTCCTTGATGTGTAAATATTGTTCTAATCCTAGTATAAATGATTTTCTCAGAATTTTCAACCAGCTCTATAATATCACCAACATGAAATTTTAATTTAACAGGATCTTTGATATTGAGAACAATGTACGTAATATAATCATAAAACACAAGTTTCTTATTTAAGAATGCATTTCTCAATCCAAGGTGCTTTGCATATGATTGATAAAGATCTTGGAAAAGTGAGGACATATTAGATAAACTCATATTCTCTAATTTTCTAAGATTCCACTTGTTTTTAGGTATAATATTAATAAAGTCTTTATTACAACAAGTAATACGCTCTATATTTAAAAACATGAATATTAGAGTTTGAAACCAAATTTATTCTTTATATTTTAAAAATAAATTTATCAGATTTAAAATATAAAAAATAACCTGACTTCAAACTCTAATTCGTATTAATATTAATATATAGAACAAACTAAAAAGGTTATTATAATCTTAAAATAATGGGCATCTGTGTATTTTGACCACCTACACTTATTTGAGTATGCTTGGTATTGTGCTTAATTTGAAATCTAGTTGTAATTTAGATTTCTTGCATGAATTTAGTTAGTAACTTCGAGCAGGTACAACTTTAGATGAATGCTAAATTCAAGTATAACAATGTTAAGGTGCTTGAGATGAGCATTATTTTGAAATACCCGCAAGTAGTATTGATTCAAATAAAACTTGTGTGGATATCATACAATTTGTAAATGTTGCTAAAAAAAATGTGCACAAAATTTTGTTTTTGAGTGCTGCATAAAGGGTATTATTTGAAACTGACCAATTTTTACCAAATGTGTGGGTTTTAAAATATCTAATTTTCGAGATACAGGACCAACAACATGCATTTAGAAAACAATAAGAAAAAACATATTTGTGAAGATCATGAATATATTTTAGCTAAAATTTGAATTTGCATTTAGAAAGGGTGCACTCATGAAGATTTTACTATAATGCTCATCCTATTATTTTAAGATCATATAGTAAAAACTTAAATTTACTTATCATGACTTTTATTTTCTTCATTTAGCGAATACAATAATGGGCTTTCAATAGCATACCAATTAGAAAAAACTTTATAAAGAAGCGGGTCCTTGATAAGGTCGGAAAGTGCATTAGTATTAATACTAAACTGGAGATCTTTCCAATCATCAATAATAAGCCTTAATGCTTCTATTGTATTATATCACTGTGTAAGGTCCAGTTCGATAATTTTTTTATTGGTATGTGGGACCATGCTTTTGAAGATGTGATGAACCATTTCCTTAATACCAACTGTGATGTTTCTTAATGTCGCAAAATTTTGTGCATTTTGTAACAAATGAACATTAACATGCAGGTTAGGTAGGTTGGTGAAATGTTCCGGAAATATCTATTTTTGATAAAAATTTAATCAGATTAACATTTTTTTTTTATTATATGTGTATAAAAAAATCATTTATAATGAGTATAGGGTAATAAAAAAAATTAATAAAAAAATTTTATTAAATAAAATTTTTTTGTTACAAGAAATCAAGTTTAAATTTTAAACTTTACATTACGCCTAATCTCATATTAACTAGAAATGTGTTATGGGTAATAATACATTGCACTGGCATTGGCAATTAACTTTGCTAGTACTCTTATAGTTGCAAGTTTTTTTATGTACGTATAATCAGATCATTCCGCTAGTACATTTTATGATTATAATCCAACACCATTTTATTATAATAAACATAGTGGATTATAATTATAACATGTCCTAGCAGAATGATCTGAATTGTAAATTGATTTTTTTATATATTGCATGATTTCTCCTATTGCCTAAAGTTGTTACTTTAGGCACTTAAAGCTGCATCTGACTATAATTTTCTAATTATGTAAAACCTAATGCTAATACTGATTTTGATCAGATACCTAAAATAGACTAATATTATCAGACCAATATTATCAACTTATTTTTTACATCGATCAACCAAATGTAAGGTAACTATTGGCATCAGAAAAATAACTCTAACCCAACACCTCTACTTTAGCTGATCTTCAAATAAGTAAAAAATGAGTCAGTAATATTGATATTAATTTTTAAATTATTACGAGAAAAGCTTGCAGCTACAAAAATATTAGTAAAGTTAATTGCAATAATTAAGAATCAATAAAACTAACCTGAATGAGCATCTCATGTTCTTTTCTTAGTGAATCTTGTAATTCTTTATAAGTGCTTTCTGTCATTGTAGTTGAAA